AACTGCATACCTCAAGAGCTCTTCACACTGAGCCATGGCAGTTAAAGTTGTGTCAAACAATATTAATTCTGCAGTGTGGCAGTAACTTCTGTCACCTTTAATTCTCTAGAAGTCACATTCACCATAAATATGAAGAGTTACAATGAAGGAGGTGTTGATCATTCTTGGCAGTTCACTAAATATATGGATTTTCATTTTCTTGATCCCTTTAAATTTCTATTTATAAACTGAGAATTTTGCCATCTGCTTGGCCAGATATAAAAAATTTCATATGGTTTCTTTGCAAATGAATTAACGGGGAAGGAACATAATTGGAAATTCAATATTCCAGATGTTTTTATTATTTTATTGCTTCAGTAATAATTTGATGGGATGCAGTGGCACAAGTGGTTAAGATGCTGACTCTGTTGATTGCACGATCAGCAGGTTGTCAGTTCAAGGCCTGGGTGCTGCATGATGGGGTGAGCTCCTGTCACTAGTCCCAGCTTCTGCCAACCTAGCAGTTAGAAAGCATGCAAATGCAAATAGGAACCATTTTGGTGAGAAGGTAAAAAGCGTTCTGTGCAATCATACTGGCCACATGATCACAGAGTAGTCTCTGACAATGCTGGCTCTTCGGCTTAGTAATGGAGATGAGTACTGCCCCCTACGGTCAGGCATGACATGACAACCTTGTCAATGGGGAATGCCTTTACTTTTGCTTTTACTAATTTGAGTGGTTAAAGAGCAGAGGTGCAGTTGAGTCTGTCTCTCATATGGGTCTAACTTGGTGCTTTGGGGGCCATTTTAGATCATAATAAATAAATGTAGACTAGTACATACATATTGACAATGGAATGTTGGAACTGTGTCTTGTGTGGGCACAAGAAGAAGTTATGTGGTCTTTAGTACGGAGTTATGCGGTCTTTAGTACGGAGCAGGGATATCCGTGGGTGGAGGTCAAGGGAACCTCCCCCTTGTCATGGACGGATCATTTCCTGATCAGGGCGGAACTCAAGGCTACATCCTATCCCCCCGGGGGTGGTGGACCTATTAGATTGGTCCGCCCTCGAAGACTAATGGAACCCATCGGTTTCCAGAAAGCCTTGGAGGGTCTAATGGTTGGCAACGTCGACGATTCTGTTGAAGCCTTAGTGAATACTTGGAATACCGACCTCG